CCCCAAAACCCCAAAACCCCAAAACCCCTTATAATACACTCAGATGTATTAATTTAAGTAAAAATGAGTGAGTCAAAGGAAAACAATGAAGCAGCCAATGTCTCTTTTAATAAGCAAAGAAGCAGCCCTAAAGCTAAGCTCGATCATATTTCAGAAGAAGTTAAAGAGCTAGAAGATAACTATATACAAATCAAAGAATCTGATGCTAAAGAATTTCAAGATCAAGAAAATGAAGATAGAAGTCTTCAGGACTCAATAAAAGAACTTGAAGGTAGAATCAAATTAGAGCATGATCTCGCTGATCGTGAGAAGAAAGAGCTTGAAAAGTCCAAAGTGATTTTTGAAGAGAATTTGAAGAAAATTGCAGGTGAAAAAGCTGATCATGAGAAACAGACTTCTAAACAAATAGAGCTTTATCAGTTGTCTATAGAAGAACTCAAGCAAAAAGATGCTCAAATTCAAGAGAAGATAGGTAATTTTCACTGTGGACTATTTCTCAAAATTATAGATAAAGATAAGGAAGAGATCAACAAGATTCAAGAGGAGTTAGCTAAACTTGCAAAGGAAGAAGCCTTATTAGATTACAGCAAGAAAAAATAAACAGCTTTTAAAAGAGATTGCCGAACTTGAAGAAAGATGTGATGCTGAGGAGAAGTTGCAAAATCAGGAGCAATGCTATCTTCGCCAGCTTAATGAAACCTTTGAAAATGAAAAGAAGTCCTTTCAGTGAAGAATCTCGGAGGAAAAAGAGAAATACTATAAAGCTAAAGATCTCTCTCTGAAAAAGTCCCTAGAGGCTAAAGATAAGATCAAAAGTTTAGAAGATGAGCTTGTTAAAGCAAAAAGTATTAAACTTCAGAAGCAAGATCATTATAATGAGCTTACTGAAAAGAAGGGAGAAAGGCTATCTCAACTAGAGAAGAATACTGAAAATTACAGAGAAGGGTTCGAATCAGACGATTCAAGAATTACTGAGATTAATAAAGATATTCATGACTATGACATAAAGATCTCTGAACTCAATGAGAAGATTAAATGAATTAGGCATGACATCAATGAATGCGAAGAATCAATCGGACAGAAGAAGAAACTAGAGAATTTTGAGCTTGAACAAGAAGTTGAAAAGTTCAAAGAGTTACTAGATCATAAAAAGGAAGAACTCAAAAGTAGGTTTGAAGATCTGAAAGAAAAGGAAATTAATGCTAAGAAGAATTATCTGCAAGCAAAGAAGAAGAATGAGCAAAGTAAGGTAATACTTATGAAGGTATAGGAAATAACCTGTATATCCTCGTCATTTGTATCTGTAAGTCTTTGGTATAACTTTTAGTCATTTTACTGGTAGTTGGATCTATTCCAATCAAGAGGTTTTATGCAATGCTTTTCCATTAAGTTCCAATACCCATCACTAAAATTGGTTAATTACAAATATTAAATTTTAGTTTAAACAAAGGGGTTTTGGGGTTTTGGGGTTTTGGGGTTTTGGGGTTTTGGGG